TGCAACAAAATAATGGAAAAAAATTACTTTTACATATTAAATTTTAGCTTTTTAAAATTGTTTATTTAAAAAAAAACAAAGTATAAACAAATAATTTTAAGCTAAAAAAGGAAAAGAAAAAAAAAATTGTTAAATAAATTTTTGAAAATTATTCACATCACTTATTTTACTCATTAAATAAAGATTAATTAAATTGTTTCCTCCCTTCTTTTCTTTTTCTTTTTCAGATTTTTTACATCACCGGATAAAGTAAATGGTTTAAAAGGTTTTAATTTTACCTGGACAGAGGTTAAAAAAAGTCAAAGGTAAATTTTATTAAATTATTATTAAATAAATTTTTCAAAGTTTTATTAAAGCTTTTATTCTTTTTTGCGATATATTATTATAAAAATAACAAATTCTAATTTTGTAGTCAAAAAAAAATGGAAAAAAAATTCAAATCATTTACGAATGTAAAAAATTTAGTAATAAAAAGCTCAATCTAATAATAGAAAAATAAAATTTAATAATAGAAATTTTAATAAAAAATACAAATAGCAAAATTTTATAATCCAAATTTCCTTATCAAATTTTTATTCTACCAAATTAATGAATATTTGATGCTAATTAATGACGAAACTTTCGGCTAATTTACGATATTTTATGTAGGTGGCGTATTTTCTGATTTTTATAACAATAATTAAAATAAGCAATATTTGGGATAACAAAAAAAAAAGAATGCGGAATTAATTACGAAATAAGAAATCTATCAAATAAGCGCAAATTTCTTTTGAAACATGAATTTAATAAAATATAATTTAAATTTAATTCTAAATTCAATAACAAATATAATTTAAATTTTATTTTCAATTTTCCTTCTTTTTTTTTCTTTTACATTAAGATTATTATTTCATATAAATTCTCTTTTTTTTTCTTTTCTTTTCCTTTCTTCTCAAAATATAAATCATTTAAATTATTTCGTTTCATTTATTCTTTCTTTTCTTTTTTTACTTTTTTTTTTTTTTTTCAGAAGATAATGAATGTTCATATCCATCGATGTATCTTTGTACATATACAAAATTATGTATTGATGCTCGTTTGAAATGTAATGGTGATGAAAATTGTGGTTTACATGATGATACTGATGAAGCACATTGTATGTTTTATATATATATTTTTTTTTTATAGAAAATAGAAAAAAAAATTTTTAATGGAATTAAATAATTAATTAAATTAGTTTTTTTTTGATGATATTTACCTTAACTATAACAGAAAAATACAATAGAAATAACTGTAATAGAAATATATCGTTTTTTTTGTTTACAAATTTTTGTAATAAAATTAAATTTTAAATTTATTTTTTTTGTTTATATTACTATATCAGAAATACCTTCATTTTTAATTAATTTCATTGATTGATTAATATATTGGAACTAATTTTTTCTCACTTAGAATTAATATTACTTTTAGGTAAATGTAAATAACATTTATTATTGGTATTCAAGTATTACTTAAGGTTATTTTATTTAGGTTAATCCAGGTGTAGTTAATGATATGTACTTGAATATCATCCGATATTTAATTTGTTCCGGTTAATTCAGGTTTTAAAATAATAGATTTACTTTCTGTGGATAAACATAAGTGCATATATAATAATATGAATAATAAATGGTTGACCAATTTTTTC